GGGGGTGGGGAGCGAGGTGGTGACTTGCGATGCTGGCCAAGATGGCATAACCCCCTGAGGCCTCTCTCCCTGCTTACTGCAGCCAACGTCCTAGGCTCGTCCTAGGCTCGGAAGAGGGCTCAGTGAAGTGAACTATGGCAGTGACCTGGAGGGCAGCCAGCCTCGAAGTATATCCATAATGGAGGTGAGTTTATGTGTGAGCTCTGACCCGAGAATAGCCCCCAGGCAGAACTACACAGACAGTGTGGTGGCAAAAACTCCAGGAAAAGCCCTGCCTTTAAAACCAGAGGACGAGAAACAGGGGCTGTTGTGAGCTCAAGAGGGGGGTGGGGGACTTCCTGTTTCGAAATCCCTTCTCTCCTTTTTTCCTCGCCCTGCCCCCACCACAGGTGACTCCACGGAAACAGAGCTGCAGGGGAGGCTCCTGCATTTAAACTCCAAGAGAAAACCCTTCTCTCTGTCAGAGCAACTGGGAAAAGGACCCGTGGTCCAAAGAGCACGAGGGAATCCTCACCACCTTTTTTCTTCCTTTTTTGAGGGTGGTCCCAGCAGTGCAGAATGGTACAGCGCTCAGGTTGCTATACCTGTTGCTAGAACTTATCTTTCTATATAACCATGAGAATGTGTCTTTCTGGCCAGGAAAATGGGCTGCTGGGAGCCAGAGAGGGGGAGGGGGCACTGAACAGTAGAGAGCTGGAAAAGATCCCCTATTCTGTGCAGAACTGACCTAAGCTGCACGTGTGTGGGACAGACCCACAGAGGCACTGCAAAGACTTTGAGAATGGAACGCGATAGAAATAACTGCCCAAGTCCCAGGCTAAGCCCTGAATGGTTCCAGTGTGGGACACAGCCAAGTCTCTGAACCACCACCCAGAGGGGGCCTACAACTTGTAGTCAACATTTTCCAGGAGATTTTAACAGAACCCAGAGTCCCACAGCATAACACTCAAAATGTGCAGAATACAACACAAAATCACCCAAGATAAAAAGAACCGATGAAATGTGAGCACTTCAGGGGGAGATCATCAACAGGCACTAACACCAAGAATAACCCCAATGTTGGGATTATTACCAAAGCCTTTAAAATACTTTTTGTAACGATGCTCCATGATAAAAGCAAGCACCCATGAAATGAAAAGGTAGAAGTTCTCAGTTTCTTGTCGTGTCTATTTCTTTGCTGACTGAATAGAAATTTTTTTTTAAAATATATTTTATTGATTCTTTACAGAGAGGAAGGGAGAGAGATGGAGAATCAGAAACATCGATGAGAGAGAAACATCGATCAGCTGCCTCCTGCACATCCCCCACTGGGGATATGCCCGCAACCCAGGTACATGCCCTTGACCGGAATCGAACCTGGGACCCTTCAGTCCGCAGGCCGACGCTCTATCCACTGAGCCAAACCGGTTTTGGCTGAATAGAAATTTTAGTATTGAAAACTATTTTTGAAATTAAAAAAAGGAAATCACTCGCAGAATGGAGACAGGCAAGTCAGTGAATTTGAAGATAGACTAACAGAAATTATCCAACCAGAAGAAGTGACAAAAAAAACCAGACTGAACAACAACAACAACAACAAACCCGGAGCTTCAGGGACTTGTGGGACAATATCAGAAGGTCTAACATTTGTGTCATGTCACCAGAGTCCCAAAAACAGAAGAGGAAGATCAGCACACAAAACATATTTGAAGACATCACGGCTGTAAACGTCCTACATTTGGTGAAAGACATACATTTATGTAATCAAGAAGCTCAGCAAACCCAAACAGGATAAACCAAAAAAAATCAGGCCCACCCACATCATAATCAAACTACTGAAAATCAAAAATAAAGAAGAAAAATTTTAAAGTAGCCCGAGAAAAACAACACATTGCGTATGAGAGAAACGAGTATTTACATGACGGCATTTCTCACCAGAGACCATGGAAACAAAGTGCAGCAACAATTCTAAAATGCTAAAGAAAAGGGAACAGGCAGCCCAAAATCCCTGTGAAAATACCCTTCAGGAGCGACAGCGGAATTCTTAGATGAAGAAAAACTGAAGGAATGTGTCACCAGCAGACCTATTCTAAAGAAATGCGAGGGCAAGTTTTTCAGGCTGAAAGGAAGACAGAGCAGAGAGGGAAGCTTGGGACTTCAAGACTGAAGGAGGAGGAACGGAAAGGGCAGTTGAGCACCATCTGGGTCACTAATGGTCTCTTGGGGAAAGCCAATTCCAGGGAACAACAGATTCTTTTTGCCTTTTAAAATTTTCCACTAAGTCTCTACGCCAAAGCCTTTTGCCCTCAGAATCGAGAATCATGGGCTCTGCTCAAGGAGGTTTTTGCCAATAGATATGGCCGGGTTTAGCTAAGGAGTTGGTATCAAACTGTCTTTAGTTTTTATGTATGTCAGAAGTTCAGACAATGAAAGTGTTTCATATTTTAAGTAACACATTTACTTGGAATATTATAATTCATCATCTAGGCTGGATATATAAATAGAAAATATATTACAATGGAATTAATTTAAAATTCCAATTTCAATTTAACAAACATTAATAAATCAGGACTCTAGTTTCCACTGACTTTTGGTGAGTTTCGTGCCTAGATAAGCACCGTAGGGTATTAATAACTTTGGAATATTGGGCAACAAATTTCTACTTTGCAAAAGTTGGTGAAAGGCTACCCTCTGCCTCAGAACAGTCTTGGGGAGTGAATACTGACCATGTGTCATTTTTGAAAATCATTGTTAGAAAGCTTGTACATCAGGAGAACTGCACTTTCAACTTTACGCTGAACATTTTAATAGATGCCTTCAACTTCATGTCACGTTCACATATTTTCTCTTTACAAGTCAGATATGCAAATGTAAGTACCACTCACAAAAATTCTATTACACATTCATAAGCTTGTAGTTCATCAAAACAAACAAAAAACTCTCAAAGGTTTCTCCACTGCTGAAGGCAGAAATCGAACCCTTCAGCATTTCACACAAAAGCCCCTGGTGATCATGAGGTGGCTCCAGTGGATCCTCCCAGCCTCATTTCCTGCTGTATGTGGCCCTCCTTTATTTTCTAAATTTGGTCATTTCTAATTTAGTCACTTTTTAAAATGTTTTTATTGACTTCAGAGAGTAAGGGAGAGGGAGAGATAGAAACATCGATGATGAGAGAGAATCATTGACCAGCTGCTTCCTGCACGCCACCTACTGATGATTCAGCCCAAAACCTGGGCATGTGCCCTGAGAATTGAACCATGACCCCACTGGTTCATAGAATGATGCTCATCCACTGAGCCTCACCAGGTGGGCTAGTCACTTTGTTTTATATTCCAAAATACCAAGCTACCAGAAGTTCCTTTCTTCAAGACACACCCTCCTTATGTGTTTCCACACCTCTAGGTCTTTTTCCCCACTCCATTTCCTTTGTCTTGAATGCTCCCATCTCCTCTTGTCTGACTCATTCCGATTACTTCAATATAAAATGTGACGATCCAGTTTTGTGAAAATAAATAGTATGTAAAAAAAACCCACCAAAACAACAACAAAAAAAACCCCTCACACCTAGAATATAGGAAGTACTCAATAAATGGCATCTAATGTTATTCCCCATGAGGAATAATCCTCTCTTCCTTCACATACTCAGACCAAAAATACTTTGTGCCACATAATCCTCAGAATGAGAGGGTGATAATAAAGTGATGACAAAGAGGTTAAAAATAAAACTGAGATGTGGAGGGCAAAGCAATGAATAATATGCCACACTTCTGTTGTAGAGCAGGGTATATCTACATGAAAAAAATAAGAAAAGTAAAATGTTCCATTATTGAAAGATGTCATGGCAGCTTGATACCTGTAATAGGGTTTACGTAGTTCCCTCTGGGATAAACACAGAACAAAGCTAGGTGTGTTCCCGCGCTCAGAGGACCCATGCAATGGGGCGCTCAGCAGCACTGAGATAGGGATAGGAGGTGTGCCATGAAGCAGATGTTTAAAAGGGAAAACTGTGGGCAGGGAGAGAGTGTGTTACCACAGTGGCTGCATCAGCAAGTCAGCCCTGGCGCTGTGAGCCCCCTGAGCTGGAGCAGGAGGGAGAAAACCACTGAAGGAGGTGCTTCTAAACCCCCAAGACTTCCTGCCCCATAACTTCCTGCTCCCAGGGTCTGTATCCTGTGGTCTCCTTCCAATACATAAACACGAGGGCTTAGGACACATATTCTAAAATAAGTGAATGAAATCACATGAGAGAGTTTCTCCTAGAATTGGTACCACTGAACCATTTACATTCCAGACTCAGCAAGAGGCAAGCCTTAACAAAGAGTCCTTTCAGCACGCAGGCCTGAGCCACGGGCTGTAAGCACAGGGTGAGGCAGCCCTCTGGGCTGCAGGGAAAGTGAGCGGCAGGAACTTCTCCCCTGTAGGCACAGGCCAGCTTATATCTCCGTGGCTCGGGGAAGACAGCAGCAGCATGGTCATTTTAAAAACGTTTAGCAATGAACATTTCTGTAAGAGTATCAAATGCTAAATTCCAATGCTGTGCTTTCAAGTTATTCTTCACTGGGGTATGGCAAAGAGAGCTGGGGAATTTAAAGATTAACATTCCCTTTTCCAAAGTGTCTTTTGATGATCCAGTCTCTCCTTAAAATTTCTAGATTTTCTAGTTTTCCTTTTGCGCATGAATCGTGAATGAAAATTCCACGGGTCTCGAGAACAATGTTGTGGTCTCTGTGCTGGACTAGAAGGCAGGGGACCTGGGTTCTAGTCCCAGCTATGAGACCTTTAGGAAATAACTAATAGCCACTAACCTTCACTTTTGTCATTTATAAAAGTGAAAATGACAGGGGGGCTGTGAGGAAATTGCTCAAAGTGCCATGCAAGTCCGGAGGCCAATGATGGTTTGGGCGCGACTGGTGATGTGACAGGCCCCTTTCCCTCTTGCCCTAAGGGGCGTTACTGAGTAACCCTGCCGGGACCCTGACTAGCTTTCTGGGGAAAACAAAACACAGGTCCCAGTTCTTTACCTTCTTTTCATTGACATCCACCTGCTCATCTTCCTCACTCATCTCTTCTGGCATATGTTTGATTTTGTTCAGAAGCTCAGCCTTGGGAGCCGAGACGCTGTAGTAGGCAGGGCAGTTGACCAACATGCCCACTGCTTCCTTCTCTTCACTCCTGCGTCATAAAGAACAAAAAGTAGAGCCAGACATAGCACATACCAGAAGCTTCATTTCACCAGGTCTCTCCATTCAGAAATGTGTAAAAAAAATCCTGTTCAATTACCTCCTAGAAATTAGGATGAGCTAACTAGTGAATATTTACTAATGAGTGATAACCATGGGTAGAGCTCCAGAATCCAGGCAAACTTGGGATGAAAACCACCAAAGGCAGTACTGGGAAAGGAGGAGTGGGGATCAGGCCTGCGGACTTGCCGGATGACTCTGGGCAAGTCATTCACCTCTCTGCATGGTTCTCCTTTTGTGATAAACATAAGAAGGATATTGACTCCCCATTTCACAGAAAGACAGTGGGGAGCCAGGACTCAATCGCTGTGAAAATATTTTAAGGCTATTGAACATATCTCAGATTTTAAGTTACTTCCTACTCTTCCAGGGTCCCCACTATCCTTCTGATACAGACTATAATTGTTATTTGGACATTTGTCAGTATTCCTTCTCCCTATGCCTGACATCCTATATAAGCCCGAGAAATTTGGAGCTTGCTGTTCAATTAATATAAGGTGTGAAATCTACTCACTGATTTCACAGCAGGGGTTTGCAAGGCCGGGGAACAAATGAGTTGAGAAACCTGATACCTAGTGTTCTCTGTTTTACTATAACTAGAGGCCCAGTGCACGAAATTCGTGGCACTCGGGCAGAAAGAAGTCAGACATCCAGAAGATGTCTGGTCCACTCGGTCTAATTAGCATATTACCCTTTTATTAGTATAGATTAAGCTGCCTTTCAGACTTCCCACTGAATAAATGACTCTATGGAAGTAGGCTGGGCTCTCTCAAAGAAGTATTTCAACTGTTCAATCCTATAACATTACATAACATCTAGACCATCATTTTACTGTGGAATAAAAAAACCCATAAAAGTCTTTTTTACTAGTTTCCTGCTTGATGGGACTATTCCTCTAAGCAATATAATTACATCTAATTCAGTTAATTGAAAAAATAGGAAAAAGGTTTTTTGATATGTTCCCCTTGCTGCCCAGATATATTCATGACATTACAAATGGGCTTCTCATGCATTTATTTGATAACTAAATTTCACAATAGATATTTGCAGCCTCACCCACAACAGAGCAATGCTCATTCCCACCAGAAGATGGCACATGCCATCCTTTAAAATTCCTCCTGCAACAGCTACATGACCATTTCTCTTCTAAATTGACTGAGAACGTAGGTTCTCAATAATAATGCTAGGAAATGCTAAGGATGTACTTATACATTACATTGAAACTAAAAAGAAAATAAACTACTCTAAATCTTTCCCATAGCAGTACTTTAAGGAATCAAACATGCAAGAAGATATTAAATAACCCAGGAAAAATCAAAAGAATGAAACAAAGACTGCTCACGGTCCCTTTGCCCCCTGGGGCTGGGCGCTGGCACAGGTTATGGGGCTGTAACATGTGTGGCTCAGGGAGCTTCAGGGGCAGAGGCTCAGAGGCTGAACAAAACCATGAGTGTGTCCCAGTCAGACCTTCCTTGATTCTTAGAACATGAGCATTCACCCTAACTCTTCAAAGGTGAATGTCTCTAGACCAGTGGTCGGCAAACTCATTAGTCAACAGAGCCGAATATCAAGAGTACAATGACTGAAATTTCTTTTGAGAGCCACATTTTTTAAACTTAAACTACATAGGTAAGTACATTGTTATTAACTTAATTAGGGTACTCCTAAGGCTTAGGAAGAGCCACACTTAAGGGGCCAAAGAGCTGCAGGTGGCTCATGAGCCGCAGTTTGCCAACCACTGCTCTAGACTCTCATCCTTTTTACAAAGACCCGTTCAGTTCCACCTTGCAGGGGCGGGGGGTGGTGGTGGTGGTGGTGCTCTATCGTGTTCACCACTTCTATCCCCTCAGCACTGCCCTCTGTGGGGCTCTCTGTAAAGGTGACTGATGGAGAATGGGAGGGCTTCAATGTCCTCACTTATAAAATGGAGATCAAACTGGTAGCTATCTCAGAAGGTTCTTGTGAAAATTAAACAAGATGATGTTTATATAAAGAAATGAATGCATTTGACACAAAGAACATGAACAATAAGTATTAAGACTATTATTATTGTTACTAGAGGCCCGGTACATGAATTCATGCACAGGTGGGGTCTGGCAGGCCCACTCGATTGGGCTGGCTTGGGGGGAGGGGACGCGGGAGGTTGGCCATCCAGCCCCGACCCTGATAGGGGTGAGGGGGCTGACTGGGGGCGGGGCTGGCTGGGGGGAGGAACCTCGGGCAGTTGGCCCACTAGCCCCGCCCCCTGGTCGAACTCCCAGTCTAGGGGACAATTTTCATATTAGCCTTTTATTACATAGGATTATTTTTTATTGTTGGACAAGTGCCTGGTAACTCAAGGCCAGTCTGTCCCACCTCCTACACCTCAGAGCCATTCCCCGAAAGCTGACGGGGAATGTCACTCTTGGGTCACTCTTGGAAGCAGGACAAGATCAGGTAAGTAGCCCCAGATTTATCACCCGTGGGTGGAGATCACTTGCAAGTCTGCTTGGGGACATTACCAGGGACCTACCTCTTGCCTTCGTGTCCTGGGCAGCTGACGGCTCTCTGCATGGCCTTCCTCTTGACGCCGTTTTCCTGCAGCAAGTTACCATCGCGAGGAAACAAACCCTCCATCAGGTCCATGGTGGTCTTCAGCCTGGAGTCGGGGTCCAAAATGTCTGCCAGAGATTTGTCTTGGTGGACAATTTCCTTGGCCAGCACCTCCGTTCTGATGTCTTCTGACGTCTTCTGAGGACCGGGACTGGCATTGTCTTCTAAATCACGAGTACCACTGAGTGGGTCGTGGACGAGGCCTTGGGTCAGAGCAGGAGGCTGCTTTCCTGGGCCTGGCTGCCAGCCGAGGGGCCCAGCATGCTGGGGCCGGGCGCCCGCGGTGGGGGGCGGGCTGGGCCCGTGGTCCTCGGAACCTCTGACGGAAGTTTGGGGTCTGGAAGCTGGTATCTGATGGCCAACCGACTGGGCTGCCCCAGGCACGGGCCCTTCCTTGGCAACTGTCCTGTTGGCAGGTTTGCTGGAGCTACTGGATATTAAAAGGAAAAGAGAGAGAGGTGGTGAGAAACAGTCAACAGGAAGGTGAGGATGAGGGTGAAAGAGCTGTCACCACTGGGCTGGTGGGAGTGGGGTGAGGCGGGCACATTTCTGAGCATCCTAAGGGCCTTCAACTGACTGCTCGTGAGGAGGTCATGTGACTTTTTAAGGGGGATGAATCGAGTATCCCAGAACTTTCTGAAGGGCCCAGGTGGACAGAGGGAAGTGGTAAATCACTCTGGTATTGAGAGTGCTAGCAGGCAATGTGGTGGCTGGGTATTTTATTCCATGTTGTGAAAGATCACTCGTCCTAAGGAGTGTATGTTGGGAAATGCTTCTTCCTCATTCTTCTGGCTTCCAAGAGCAGGTTTTCCTAAGCGTTACTGCCCTTCAGCCCCACACTCGATTCCTTCCTAGTGTCTTTGGAAAGAGATGCTAACCACAGCTGGACCATTCATAGTCCAGCTCTTCTGTTTAAGAGCAAGGCTGCCTCTGGGCGTGTTCCTGCGTTCTCTCTCGCTCTCCCTCCATCTATTCAGGGTGTCCCCCCAAAATGTATACATACTTTAACAGCTGATAGCTCACTTTTGAAAATGAAATGTATTTTAATAAATACTGCCTTTATAATTATTCAAAATGTGTATATACATTTATTTGGACACCCTACATATAAAATAGACACACATGTGTATGTGTGGATGGCTGGCACGGCCTGTGAATAGGCAGGTAAACCTATTTAATCTGGGGGCTCAGTGTCAGGATGGAAGCCATTTCTCCGCATCAGCTCTCTCAGTAATGCAAGTGATATTTCTGTCTGCTGTATGCCTTCCTCTGACCTCTCATTCCTTAACTGACTCAGAACGTGGGCAGGAAGGAGGGATGCTACTGATGTCGCCCCATAGAAGCGAACTATGCCTCCTGGGTGAGGGCTTTCGTTTCCACTGCTCTCACTCCTTGCTGCCCAATGACTGCTCGTATAACCACCACCCAAGGTAAACAAGAGCATCAACCTGCCAGCTTCCGGGGCTGCGCTTCTATAAAAACCCTCCACACCAGGGCTCTCCTGTGGCCAAAAGCAGGAGGGTCTAGGAGGCCTGGGGTGTGAAAACCTCTCACTAGTGAGGGAAACCCTCTCCTCCTTAGCTAAGGGCCTGCCCTACCCAGTCTGCCCACTCACCTCGCAGGGGGCTCCATGCCATCCTCGCTGTCCAGCTGTGCCTCACACAGAGCTTGGGGAGGAGGGGGAGGAAAGTCTTCCCAGCTATTCACTAGGATTTCCTGGCTTGGG